ACTGTAGAAGTGGGCTTTGAGGTCTCATATGCTCAAGCTATGCCCCAATCTTTCCCATGCTGCCTGTGGATCAAGATGTAGAACTCAGCTTCATCTCCAGCACCATGCTTTCTATGATGATAATGGTCTAAACCTCTGAAACTATAAGCCAGCTCCAATTAAATGTTTTCTAAGAGTTGCTGTGGTCATGGTGTGTCTCAGCAATAAAACCAATAAAATCCTAAGACATCCTCATAACCATAGATAATTATAGCTCTCACTCCTTGTGAAAGAAACTTCTCATTGCAATAGACAGAGATCATTACAGAAAACCACAACCAGTCAAACTGCTGAGAACAACTGGTTGTGGGCACTGTACAAGCCAGAGGATCAAGAAATCTGCAGTGAGATTATGTCTCCTAGGAATGACAGGGAAGCTTCACCCACAATACTTTGTCTTTTATGGCTCCCTAAACAAAATCTGAACAAGTACACCACCAATAGACAGGCCGTCATGGAAGGGGGAAATCTCAAGGGGTCCCCCAACCCCAGAAAAAGACCTCCAGGTAAGTAAAGAATGCTGAGACGAAAAGAAATAGTCCTTCCTGGGAATAAGCTCCCTAATTGTTACCCAATAGCAACTGGTCAGCCCTGAAAACATTTATACACAAGTAACACTAAATAGACTGGTTGTAAACAGAGCAGGTTGTATTTATATATTTGTGTGTGTGTGTGTGTGTGTGTGTGTGTGTGTGTGTGTAACAAAAGGAAGCCATGAATTTGAGAGGGAGTGGGGGTGGGGGAATGAAAGGGCTGGAGGGAGGAAAAGAAAGGAGGACTTGAAGTGATAATATTTTAATTAAAAAAAAGAAAACTGCTCCAAAAACTACTTAAGAGACTTGAGCATGCAGCGGTTAAGAGCACTGAGTGCTCTTCCAAAGGTCCTGAGTTCAATTCCCAGCAACCACATGGTGTGGGATCTGATGCCCTCTTCTGCTGTGTCTGAAGACAGTGAGCGACTGGACAGTGTAATATACATAAAATAAATAAATAAATCTCTGAGAGAGAGAGAGAGAGAGAGAGAGAGAGAGAGAGAGAGAGAGAGAGAGAGAGCGCATGAGCGAGCATCTCTGAGAGAGAGAAAGACAGAGTTCTGCCTCTGCATACCGAGTGCCAGGATTAAAGGCATGCAACATTATGCCCAGCTGTAACTTATTTTTTCATTAAAATAAATATTGTTAGCCGTGCCTGGTCTACTGTGATGGCTATTCTAGGTTATCAACTTGACTACATCTGGAATTAACTAAAACCCAAATGTTCGGGCACACCTGTGAGAAGTTTTTTTTTTTTTCTTAATTAAATTAAATCTGGATCCTTCAAGGTGGGAAGACTTACCTTTAAGCTAGGTCAATAATCAGGTAGATAAGATGACCATCTGTGGACAATCAGCCTCCACTCCATCCCACGCCCCACCCCGCCCACCATCCCTGCCAATGACCGTTGGGCCCATGAACCAAGTAGCCATATGGCAGAGATGAACGTTATAAATGGGTTTGGTAACATGGACTGCCATTTCCTAAGGCTGGCCTGGCTACAGCTGCTGCTGAATGCCAGATCTGCCAACAATAGAAACCAACACTGAGCCCAGGTATGGACATTCCCCTGGGTGACCAGTCAGACTTGGTAGCAGGTTGACTACACCGGACCACTTCTTCTGTGCAAAGAACAAGGCTTTGTCCTTACTGGAGTAGATACTTATTCTGGTCTTGGATTTGCCTTTCCTGCACACAATGTTTCTGCCCAAACTACCATCTATTGACTTACAGAATGCTTTAATCCAGCATTACATTATTTCCCACAGTATTAAGGAACTCTCTTCACAGACAAAAAAGTGTGACAGTGGGCCCACGATCATGGAATCTACTGGTCTTACCATACTCCACCATCCTGAAGCAGCTGGCGTGACAGACAGATGGAATGACCTTTAGAAGACACAATTACAATACCAATGAGGCAGCAGAAACCTGGAAAGCTGGGACAGGGTTGTCCAGAAGGCAGTATATGCTTTAGATCAGCATCCAATATACAGTTTCTCTTAAGCCAGAATCCACAGGTGCAGGAATCAAGAGATGGAAAAGGGAATGGTTTCACTCACTATCATCCCTAACAACCCACTGGAAAAAACTTCCAGTTCTTGTGAGCTTAAGTTCTGCTGGCCTAGAAGTTTTGTTTCTAGAGGCAGGGAGAGCTCCTGCCAAGAGTCACACCAAGCATTTCATTAAACTGGAAGCTTAGGCTTCCTCCTGGCCACTTTGGGCTTCTAAGGCCATAAGCCACCTGGCTAAGAGAGGCATAACAGTGTTAAGTGGTGTGGTTGATTCAGATTATCACGGAGAAATTAGATGGCTTCTCCATAATGGAAGTAAGAAAGTTTATGTCTGGAATGCAGAGGTTCCTTTAGGGCATCTCTTGGTGCTACTGTGTCCTGTGATTAAAGTCAATGGGAAAATATAACAATCTAATGCAGGCAGGATGACAAAGGGATGGAGGAAATACAGAATGGGGAGTAGAGGAAGGCAGTCATAAATACCAGCTAAGGCCATGTGATCGGTTGCAGAAACAAGGATTATAACTGATAGAAGTGCTTTTGTTATGTTCTGTTAATGTATGTTGTATAGATATTTCTTGATTTCCTTTTCATGTAATGTAACATGAGTTAAGAGAATATCAGTGATTATTATATTTAAGTTTTGAGATATTAAAAGAATGTCCCTAAACGGAATAATAATATTCCTATAACAGCCAGGACTATATAGTGAGACCCTGTCCTAAAAAAGGTCAGTGTTAGATGGGAGTTAACAAGAAAATACTAGAAATGATGCGTTAGCCTAGGTCGACAGAGCAACAAAATCACTTGTCAGATGTTCGATTCCCATTAACTCCTCCCACTCACAGACCGGAAGGCACAAGTCTAGGGCAGGTGGTTCTAACTCCTGCCTCAGAGTTCACAGTGGCTCAGTCTACCTTATGTTGGTCTGATTATGACACTCTCAGGAGAAGAACAGGGGCCATGGCATTTAAGAAACATTAAGTGCTTAGTAGGTAGCACAGGCTTTCCTAAGCAGAGCTGCGGACAGCAAGGGCACAGAGTCCTGCTCTCCTGGAACTCATAGCCAGTCAAAGGGAGACAGACAGATGCTTGCTCAACGAACCAGAGGTGCCATGGAGTAAGAGCCACAGCTGTAGGGATGCTGAGGAGGGTGAGGAGTGTGGATGCAGTTAGGAGCGTGGCACACAGTGTGCTCAAAGGATGACCTCTAACACGGTGCCCTCTAGGCAGAGACAGGAGACAGCACAGACAACCTCTACAGGAGTGTGAACGGCATGTCCAAGGTACAGTCGCCACAGGCTCTAGAACTTTGTGGCTTGAGCTCTGGGAACCAAGGAGCAGAGTATGGCAATGTCTAACAAAACAAACAAACAAACAAACAAACAAACAAACACTAATCCTAACAGCATCTCTGGTGATGAGGAGGGCTTTCCTTCTCACTCACTCAAACAGAAAGAGCTTGCATGGGTGTTCAGCAGAGAAGTGGCATGCCGAATATGCTAAGGGACTCCTGTTGAGGAAAGAATGCTAAGATGGAAGCAGAGCAGTGGTCTGGGAAGGCTGGGCCCTGGCCAGGAGGTCACAGGGGAGGCTACGTGACTTCAGGTAAAATCTCTAAGGCAGAGGAATGGCTTTTCACTGGTGCATTGTTGGGCGTGAACAGAGGCGCATGCAAGGCTGATGCCAAGGCCTCAGGTCTGAGGAAGCCTAAAGGGAAGAGTGGATCGAGGAGGAGCAGCCTGGGAGCTGATGGAGATGGGCTTGAACATGTTACACTTGGGTGGCAGTTTGACACTCAAGGCAGTGAGAAGGCTCCTGATTGGCTATGGAAATCTGGATACCGTCCGCAGAACAGATGCTGTCAGCTGGAGAATGGCTCTAAATGGGGACAGTCCTGTAATCTGGGAGTGTGCTAGAAAAGAGGGTACATTTTCAGATGTCACTATGATTAGATGTACAATTGATATTAACATATGGCAGGATGGGAAATTCACATATTCTATAATACACATGACAGTTTTGTACAAAAGGCCCCTCCCCCAGTTTTCACTGATTCTTTGACATCTCATGTCATGTGTGGACCACCTTAGGTCATCTTTCAGGCCTTTGGCCTCCCTTAATGTCATACAAGAAGACAAGGAATTTGCCTCACAATTCTCAGGTGCCTTGTCCTGTCTAAGAGCATAATGAAAATGAAAGATACACCCTGGTTTGGAATGTCCTGAGAGAACTCAGCATTTCTCTCCCTTGGCAACATCCTTCATGATGTGCTGGTACCCTTGGGAGTTCCATGGGGCCTTTTTACAGCCATGCTTGGACATGGCAGATAGAGAGAAATACAGGGTACTTAATACCTCCCTTTTACTCACACTCACGTTACTACATTGTTTCTCAAATGTCTACCTGCAGTTAGCAACACTGTCTATGAATTTCACCCTAACACAGAAAGGAAGGGCTACAGGTTCATGGGAAGAACCCTGTCGCAGAGGGTGAATGTAAAAGGGGAAAAGCTGAACCCAGACCCAGGCCTGTCCTCTGTTAGATGCCGAGGAGGGGATAAAGAGAAGGGAGGAAATGAGAGCAGAATGCAGTCCTTCATGGAGGAATTATCAACCAAGTAGACAAGTCAAGCAAAGGTCAGAATGGTTCTGTGTGGCTCTGACTCCATCTAGGGGGAGCCAGAACACCCACTTAAGCCAGGACAGATGGCCTCAAGTGTTGCATTAAACCTCTCTCATGGTTCTTTCTCCACCCTGGAGCACCCTACTGTCCTCTATTCAGTCCATCCCTTAGGCCAGGACTTGCTGTTTCTCTGGGTCCCCTCTTCAGAACCCAATGGGGTTCGCTAATTGCCCTCTTCGTCCCTGAAGGGGTCTGGGCATCCTCACAGCCCTGCGCCGAAAGTCTATACCTTACTCAGCCGAGACTCAAAGGCCAGCGAGGTTGAAGACTTGGAGCTCTTCATGCCAGAAGGAGTCCCAGGGAGGGGCCGAGCTCGGTCAGGACCATGGCTGCCTGCTTTGGAAACCGGACTCCAGGGCTTGGTGGCACTCCGCATGATGTCCTGGGGAGACCTTCTCTCTGTAGGAGGGGAAAAAGGAAAACACTTGTCTCCAAAATTATCCTTGTGAGTGACATGATAAATCTTTACAAACTCCATTCACCAAGCTCACAGTTGCCACCACAGAACAGTGATAGGGTTTAGGCAGGTACAGAACACTCTATTCCTAAGATGCTACCTTTGCATGCTGCTTGTTTTTACACCTCTGAACAGATGTTTACTGATTTATTACAATATATATGCAACATCATTGATACTCTGACATTACTTTTCACCCAATGATAGTTTATTATTGTTACAGACAACTAATAGATTTGTGTTACACTACACATCTGTAAGCACACTCATGCACGTGTGTGTTCACACACACACATACACACACACTCCAGCAGCTTGTATCAAGATATAAATGCCTGCTTCAAAGGCATGGTGGCACATGCCTTTTATCCCAGCACTCGGGAGGCAGAGGCAGGAAGATTTTCTGTGAGTTCGAGGCAAGCCTGATCTACACAGTGAATCCAGGATAGCCAGGCCTCTGGGCTCTGTTACACAGACAAACCCTGCCTTGAAAAACAAAACCAACCAACCAAACAAAAACAAACAAACAAACAAACAAACAAACGTAGCAGACTGCAGCTGAAGACCTAGGAGAAACCTCTGAATACAGAGACAGAAGAGTGGACATCCCAGGTCCAGCCACCAACTGTCATTCATGATCACTTTCATCCTCCAAGTCTCAGCCTCCGCTGTCAACAGCATCACAGGCTGAATCCCTGGCATCTTTCTACCACCTTTCTGCCTCTTGTTGTGGGCTCTAGTATGTCACAAAGCATCCAAACCACAGTGCTCTGTCCTTTCAAAGAACACTCACAGGTGACAAGCAATTCCAGTGGCCAGTCTCATGGGACACCCTTAAGGGGTGGTAGCCGGTACTCAGAACGGTGGGTCTCCTCTGCTTCACAGAATCCCAAGACCCCTGGGTAATCCACACACAGCTCTGCATCCCAGCTCAGGCTGCCACCACTTTACACCCCTGTCCCTTTCCTGACCAGAAGAAACCATTTCAACAGATAATATCTGTCACTCCAAGAGTCATCCAGTTTCTGTTTAAGCAAAGTGATTAGACTCCTAGATACTTGTGCCCTGTTTAGCTGATATGTTCTGCAGCTCTGTAAACGTGGCTAATGATGAAATCCTTTGTTAGGGATTCAGCAGCATTGCTCAAGCTTGTACTTGGTGTAAACTAGGTCCTGGGTGCCCATCCCTGGCACTGATAGAAACACATGCATGTACACCACACACACACACACACACACACACACACACACACACACACACACACCTGAATTCATTATTGGTAAAAGGAAAAACAGGACTACCATTTGCTTCCCACACTTTTTCCTGAGGGCCACAACACATGACTTCATTTTCATGACTTGCTCAGAACCTTGTCAGTCTCAGCTTGGTTCCAGGTCTTGTGATTTCTTAAAAATTCAGTATTAAGAAAAGCGGCTTGCTGCCAATGTATTTTACTGATGTTTAGTGCTGATTATTTTTCTTTCTCAGCCCATGTTTTTCTTTCTGGTTTCCATGGCAACAGTGAAAGAATCCTTAGGTTAAGACCCTTGCAGTGACTAATTTCATTAATACTCTCTCAGTATAGGACAAGGTAACGCAGCCTGACTGCAAGCTAACCAGTACCCTGTCGGGCTGACTCATAGAGATCATTTAGATGAAATATCCGCTTAGCCAACATCCCATTTTATGCTATTGGAACTACTTAGAAATGACCAGTGTAGGGCTTACTTCATGAATGCATTAGGTACATGCTTTCCAAACCTGCCACGCTTGCCTTAAGATGACAGTGCCCCTAGTCTGCTTCCCAGAAAACTATGAAGTTAGAAGCAGGCGGGAAAGGATGTTTCTACTGTCAACCATTTTCTTGACATTTTAAGAGAACTCAATCCATTCATTAATCAATCTTATCCAAATTCAAATATATAAGCCCAGCTTTTCATTTCTGGTGACAAGTCTGAGGGGCCGGATGGAGTTATGGAGTTTAACTCTTTTTTTTCTTGTCAGCAGGTTGCTTGCCCCGCTGCTTCTCCGTCACTTCTTGCCACGTCACTTTCTCTACTCTCTTCAAATGTTCTGAATCTGATAACATTATTCACAGGTAAGGCATCCACACTACTCTCGGAGAGTGTCATTCTTTACTCTTACCGTCTTCTTCACTGGGCTCCGCCCTTCCTTCTGTACTCTCCTACCTGCTAAACTCTTTCCTGACAGTTCCAGCTTTCAGAATTCAAGATGTCCAGTAATAAATCGTTAACGTCTCACCCACAGTATCCAGGAAGAGTCATCCCCAGAGCTGAGAGCAGGACATCTAAACAGGGCAAGCATTTTAGGATAGGGACACCATTCTTGTCCTTGGGCACAAGCCAACAATGTCTTCCGTCTTGTCCTGGCTAGAGGTCAGAAATGCCAGAAGGGGGCTCTGGCTCTTGTTCTGGTTTCTTATTCATGTTCTTTTCATTTTACACAATCTGAGTGAACCGTACTGCCTAGAAACCATATGTGAAGATAAGAGACAAACTGGGCAGCATCTAGACACCCACAGGCAGGCCGACTGGACTGCCCAGCTCATCTCCCCATGCATTTTCTGCTCTAAGTCCTACAGGAAGCCCCTAGCCTAGCTGCTCGATGCTATCACATTTTCTGGGACCCCTTTCTGCTATACAGAAGCTCTACCTTCCTTTTTCCTCTCAAGCACCCACCTAAAATCCTATACTATCAAGACTTTCTAAACTCATCCACCCATTGTCTGTGAATTTCATCCTGAGCTCATGAGAAAAGGGACCAAGAAGCCATTGGCTTGGGATAGCTCTGCTGCTCGTTGATTTTGTCTGGTACACTAGGCATGTGGGAGCTGGTAAATTCTCCACCACTTTTAAGGTCCCTCACTTCTGTCTCAAAAGCAGGACAAGTGCCAGACAGGATGTCCAGGAGTGACCTCTCAGCATCAGCCTAGAGAAGTGGTGACTCAGCATACAAGATCAAAACTGTCACAGCAAGAAGTGAGGAAGGATGATGGGTCCTTGTGCTGTCAGATGGATATGGCCACCATGCCATTTCACTGTGAGCAGAAGGTGCTGGCAAATGTCCCATGTGAATTATCTCAGCCCTGGAAAGTGTTGCTTTGTATTATAGTCCGAGTATTGGTGTTTTCCTCAAATTCACACGGTGAAACCAAACCCCCACTGTGGTACTGTTAGGAAGTGGGACATCTGGAAGAAAGCTGGGCCAGGAGAGCAGAACCCTTACAGAAATGGCCTAAGGGAACATTTTTGTCCTTCTGTCAAGTGGGTGACACCATGAACCAGACAGAGGGCCCCCATTAGACACTGAATCTGCCAGCCCGGATCTAGGACTTTGGAGCCTCCACAACTTGGAGCAGTGTCTCCCACTTCTTTATAAGGCACCCACTTTAGCTTTAACAAACTCCCATCGTATAGAAGAGGAAATTTCCTTTGACTCAGGGAAGTCAAGCAACTTGTCTAGACCACAGAACTCATCTGTAGCCATGGTTGAAAGCAGGTTGGACAGGCCATCCAGATAATCTCCACCCACATGAGAAACAAGATCCCTGTGCATCAACCCCACGTGGGTACAGCTCCTTGCTGACCGGGAGCTTGGGCATGTCTGAACTCTATGCCACTCAGCATCAGATGGCATTACAAGAGACAACAGAAGAAACTTCACAAACCCAAGCTGCCTTCTGTCAGTTATGCCCATCCCCGTCGGGGTGTTGCTTATTAGCTTGACAATACACAGCCACAGATCCATTAAATCTTCAGAACAGGAGGCTGCCAGATATACCAGGCAAGTGTTCTTCCTGTACACAGAACAGCCTGTTTTCATCTGAAAATATGGGCACGGGGAAGCAGAGAGGGAAATGAACACACAGGCAGATGGTTTCCAGCCTTAGGATTGGTTTTAGACAATCTGGGCTGCCACAAGATAAACACAGGTGAGCACACTCGCTGACTAATGCTTCGCTCCTGGGTGTGAGTTAGGGACAGACAATGAATAGGTGGCCTCTGGCCAAGCACATGGGAACCAGAGGGGGAAAGATGTCTCTAGCTGTAATTCTCTGATTTCTTAAACTCCCCATAAACAATACAAAGGGTCAAATCTATTAAGAAATTAGAGTTGAATCTAGCAACTCATTCGAGGGAAAGGGTGGGAGCTGGAGGGAGGGTCTTTCCAGGAGTTTTTTTCTTTTTAACATTTCAGACATTTTATTTTGGTGCCACACTTCATTCTGCTCAGAGCAGTGTGTGACTTACATTTAAACAGTCCCCCATGAAATGCACATCATAAAGTAGTGAAGAGAGAAGAAGAAGGCGGGGAGAGAGGAGAGGAAGAGGGGCATGACGGTGTATTTTAGGAATACACAAAGGCACTGTGTCCCAGCAAAGGTTTAGGAACCGTGGTCTTCCCAGTCCATGCTGCTGTTATCCAGGGACCTTATCTTTATTTCCCTTTTAAGGCAAGAAAACTGGAAGTCAACTGGGAAACCATTCTGGATGAACGGAAAATAATGAGTCTCCGAGAGTGGGAGGGTGTTCAGGTCTCAGCTGCAAACACAATAAGCAGTAGGAAGCAGCAAGCTTAAAGCATTCAATCCGGAGAACCAGGAAAATAGGAATGAGCACATAGTTCAATTACCATGGGACCTGGCAGGAAGTGCAGCGCCAGGGATCAGCAGGCTGAAAATATCTAGCCAAAGACTAGTAGGACAATATTTATGAGTTTGCTCCAGATACTTGGATGGGCCAGTTCCAGGCCTGGGATAACTTCACCCCCAGGGGACACAAGGCATTCACAAAGGCACACCTTGGGGGGCTAATGCACAGAGGCTAGCGGTGCTACTAGGCATCCTGCCCACCAGAGGAATCCCAGGACAATGAAGCATCTCGACCAAGATGTCCGCAGTGCTGTGTGGGAAGTGGGGTCA